CCGTATTGTCGATTTTCTGTGTGGTTTGGTTGTGTTTATTATTGTTAAAACTTTGTTTTTAGATTTGGTTGTGCGTAGACGCAAGGTGTTTCCACCTACGCCTCCATCTTGGCGGAAGTCCCTCTTTGTTTAAGTTCTTACTCAGTTTTGTTTTTTTTTTAGCATCCTTATAACCATTTTTTGGAACTCTATATCTGGTAAATTACTTGCCTCCATTTCACTTAGCTCTTTTTCTGGAGATTTCTCCTTTTGTTTCATTTGGGGCTTATTTCTTTACCTCCCCATTTTGGCTGTTTCTGTATTTGTTTCTATGTATTACATAGGTCTGCTATGACTCCTAGTCTTCATAGGGTGACCTTATGTAGTAGGTGTCCTGTGGGACTCAGTGATACAGTCTCGTTGATTGCCTGATCTTGGTGTTTCATGTATGCCCCTTGTGTGGATTATGTCTGCCCTTCCATTGTAATTGATTTTTTATTGCTGTTGGCTCATTTGTGTGTGAGGTTGACTCTCAGGCTGCCTGGCTGTGAGGATCAACTCCGATCACAGTATATGAGCTGCTGACCGCACAGAGTGGAATTACCTCAGTAGGGTCTGTGCCTGCCAAGATCTCCTTTTGGATATTCCACTTGTAAAGCTAATTGGATCCTGCTATGATGTTGTCTGAAGTTGGTCACTGGACATGTTGGTTCTGGGGTCCTTTGGGAGGGATTGTGATGCAGACAAATGTCATACACTGCCTGTAATTGGCCCCAGGAAAACTTTGGGGCTACAAAGTGATCCACATTTTGTGGCTGCTTCTGCTGGGCCTGAATGTGTGCAGGAAGAACCAACCTGCACAACAAAGTCAGCTTTTAGTAGCACCAGGCCCAGGGATAGGTCAGCAAACTCCCAAGGCACCCTGAGATCCACCTCTGACTGCATCTACCTCCTAGCTGCCTTATAGGCTTGCTCAGTCACTGAAAGAGATTCTAGTGGTACTCTAGTTACATGATGTATGTTCTCAGTGAGTCACCAAGAAAAGGAGAATTGTGTTTACCAGAATGAAACATGTTCAAACTCAGTGCCAGTGCTGGACCTAAGACCACACAGCAAATGTCCCAGGGTATACTATTTCTAGCAGCCAGCCACCAGGTGCCCACAGACCTTAGTGGCAGGGTAGAGTCTCAGGGAGTCATCAGGATGATGCCAGCAGAGTTTATTATGCCCAAATAGCCTGAGATTTGGCCACATGAAGGGAGGGCTCTGCACTGGTCGAGCACGTGAGGAAGAAAATGGCCCCCATTCTAGAGCCACACAATTCAGTCTGTCCAAGATTCTGCTAGGAAACTGAGTGATGTGGACTCCATCCTGCAGGGTCTGGGTGTTGTGGCTGTGATGAACAAATTCACACAGACAACAGAAGTCTTGTGGAGAAAAAGGGACAGCATGGCTGCTAAGTGAGAGAAAGGGCCCCCGACCTCTGCCTTGAAAACTTTTATTGCTTTTCTGGGTACATTACACTGGGGGTGGTCTTCATTTACTATGCACAGGTTTGCTGTAGGTGATTACCTTTTATAGATAACAAAGGAAAGAATGTTGCTAATTACTTCAAAGAGAAGGATGTTTCAGATGCAAGGGGAAAAGTGGTTGAACTGGTTACACTCCATACTTGGGAGGTTTAGCACAGATTTTAGGAAGTTACTTTAAAGATATGCAGTAAACATTTTCTGCCTCAATCCAGGGTGAGGAAGTTTTAGCAAAAGCAAGTCTCATAGTAGCCTAGGTACGATGCAGTCCTGATTCCCCATTGGGAAAATTTATCCATGAGTGTGGGTCCTGTGTGCTGACTCACTCCCTACTGGATTTTCCAAGTCAGGTGCTGGGATACATTCCCCAAGCCACATGGAATGGTTCCCTATAACTGAGCTCAGCAGGATAAGGTTCGGGGAGTCAGAAAGGTGGGGATAATGGATCACCTATGAGGGGGAGGTATCAGTCAGGCCTGGGGCAAAGTGGGAGGAGTAGCCCCCACCCCAGAGACACACAACTCAGTCTGTTCCAGATTCTCCCCAGACTTCAGCCAGGTGGGGCTGCCAGGAGTTGAGAGTGTGGGGGCCACCTTAGCCTGTGAGGTTGGGGTTAGAGTATCTCCTGGGAGGAAGAGGTATCAGTAAGGTTTATTGGAAAGTAGGAGAAATGGTTCCTGACCCAAAGCTACACTGCTCAGTCACTGAAACCTCCTGAATCTGCCTAGATCTCTACACCCTGGCCCAGGCAGCTGACTCCTTAGCAAGGCAAAATCTCTGTAGGGTGGGAAAATAAGGATTCCAGGTGGTGGGGCTATGGTGTCCCCCCCGGCTGATGCTGTAGGAAGGGGCATGTTCCACCCAAGAAAGACGGCATCTACAGTGTGGAAGAGTGATTCAACACAGAGGTCTTAGCTACTGTGCCCTGACCTCTCTCCCCAGACCCCTGAACATCAGTCTCTCCTCACATGACTTCTAGTCTGTTCCACCTTCCCTCTGCCAGAATCCAGGGTGAATCACTGCAAACAAGATTTGGTGCATTGGCTCTTTAAGAGAGTACCTGAGACTCTAGCAAACTTCTCTCTCCCCCACTGGACAAAACCCCTGCTGATTTTCACAGCCTGATGTTGTGTGGGCACTTCTTTCTGGCTCTTATGCCCTGGGCTGGGGAACCTAGTGTCTAACTGAGACCCCATGCTCCTTTGGGGGAAGCCTTGCTGCTAAAATAACCATCCAGATTCTCAGCGGACAACCATGGGAGTGGGGCCAGCCCTTTATACTTCTCCATCCTTCCTACCAGTCTCAACGTGGCTTCTTCTGTGAATTCTTGTTTGTGAGACTTCTATTCAGCTAGTCTTTAGTTGGGTATTCAGGTTGATTATTTTATGTTTTAGTTGTAATTCTAGTGTGTTCCTGGGAGGAGGCAAGTGTAACATCCACCTAGTCTGTGAACATCTTGGATACTCACTTAGAGAACTATTTCTGAGGTTTGTCATCTCAGTCAGCTTTCACTCTGCTTATTTCCTACTGTGTTTGATAATTTTTGCAAGGTGAACTTAAATTTACCTGGTTCCATCTGAGCAAATCCTGAGATGCCTGGATTAAGGGTAAGGTCCTTCATTGCTTGCATGTCCCCACATGCACTAGGTTGTGATGAGCTGAGAGACTTGAAATATAATTTTTCATTTGACATAAACAGGAAAATTTATTAACAATAATTATAGCAAATAAAAATAATAGCATACACTTGAACTTCAGATCTATAAGAGGACATACTTGTGGGTATGTGCTCTTAAAAGAGGATCATTTTCCCTTATAAAGTCAAGGCTTTCTTATTGTCCTTTCACTGACAGTGCACATTCCTCCCTCCTCCTGCCTTACCCTCTTCCTTCTATCCCATGACCCTCTTTCTCTAAGTCTATAGCACTTGTATGGTTCTGGTTTTAGGTAAGTCACTCAGTTTCAAATTTCCACCTTTCTAGGAAGCCTGTTCATTTGCTTTATGGGTTGAATGTTCCTTGTTATCTGAGACTGTGGGCCCTTCAAAGTTGTGTCAATGGAATTAGGAAACTCAGTCCTTAGAGGAGTCTTCTTTACAATGGTCCCCCTTAGTGCCTGGCAGGTTCCTTTACAATAGGAACCTGAGAGGGCTGCTGAGCAGGGCATGAGGACTTGAGTACACAGGACTGATGACTTTTGAGAAGTCAAAACACCAATTACAAAGCATAGTCAAGAAAAAGTGGTCAAGTTCCTGCTTTACTCCAGGAAAGAAGCAAATCTTTTGAGTCATTTGATAAAACTAAGTGTTTTAAAGAGGGGATGTAAATTTTGGGGAGGGTAGGAATCAAAGTCAAGTCAGGGACTTGAAAAAGGTCACTTGATTAGGCTTTGGCAATACTAACTGACAGCGCTGGAAACCCAGGCGTGGAGGAGCCATGGACTGGTCTGGTATCTGTGTCATTCACGGTCTCTGCTTCTCTCCTTACTCTCTCAGTGGATCCTTCTGTGTACCCAAGCCTGGGTTGCATTTTAGAGACAAGCAGGTGAATCAAACAAAGCTCCTGTCCTAGAAAAGAAAGAACACTAAAAAGGTAGTCACGGATGTTCACTCTAGCTGTAGAGGAATCAAGACGGCTGTTTATAGGACATGATGCTGGAGGATTCAGTTTTTCCATTAATGTCTATTCAGCATTAACTCTGTTTCCAGACACTCTTCTAGGTGGAAATACAGCAGCTGAAGAAGACTTCTGTTATGTTCTAAAGGAATCATATAGTCAATCATTTGCAACCAAATAAAGATTATTTTACATAGAGATAAATTACAAGCTAAGTGGAGAATTATAATTTCACAATAGAGGGGCTACTTAAAGTTAAATGGCTAGGGAAAATCCCTTTCCCCAAAGATAATATTTAAGTTGAAATCTGAATGAACACAAACAATTCTGCAAAGATAGAGAAAAGAGTTCTAGGCCAGAACAGCCAATGCAAATGCCACATTCAGCTTTGAATGTAAGTTACCTACAGATACTTCTCCTTGTACATAACCCTGTGACATTCCCAAGGAAGACACTTGATAGATGTTCTGAATGAGAAGGTTGCAATGAGGTGGGTCAGTGTCGTCACTAAACACACATGGAAGGGTGAAGTAGTTAGAACAGATGCAGAGGTATGTGCCTGTGTGTGCACATATACATATACGATCACACACATAAGCATGTGTTTGTTTGGTAGAATGTCAATGCATGTCTCATATAAATAATATCTGCAGAGAAATATCCTGAAAATCTGTGATTCTAGAGGATTGGTTGCTGAGCTATAGAAATGGATGCATGGGAAGGGGCAGTAAAAGGAAAAGTTTCAGGTTTAAAATAGAGAGCTGCCCAGTGCTAGGCTGGAAAGCTCGCCAGCAGCCCTGGAAAACTGCCCAGCATACAGCAGTTCTAAGGACTGTTGTCTATTAACCTGGGTTGAAGGTCAGTCCACTGTCCCTGATCACCAGGTTAAGTGGACCTGACATTGTTGAGGCATCTGCCAGAAGCCTGGGCTGGAAGACAGCTTCCCTACCACAGCCTTCATGCTCTGAAGAGTCCCTAGTAAGTCATTTCTGGAGTCAGCGGTAGAGTCCAGGGCCAGGAGTCTGGCCACTTGACCTTTTACTGGTAAGATTGAGGCCGGAACTTTGGTGTGGTTGTCAGGCCCACTCAGGGCCTCTGTATCTCTGATCTGTGGCATTTATGTTCTTCTTGGATCCACCTGACCATCTGCAAACTGAAAGGTGGTCTTTTCAGCCAAAGGAAAGAATGAAAGTAGAGTGTGTTTAAGCTTGACCTTGGCCTCCAGTATAATCAAGGAAGGGGAGAAAAGATAGAAATAGGAAAGGTGAAGAAGAAGGTGATAAGGGCTCCTTCTAACTCACTACTTCTCAGAGTCCTGGAGGAAAAGAATGCATAGGGGAGCCGACAGGGTAGACATGGGCACATGAGTAGTTACCAGCAACATTAGGATTAGCAGTGAGAGAGGAGCAGAGGGAGAGGCCCATGGGGGGCTGAGCTGCCAAGGCTTCCTGGAAAAGGAGCCAGACCAAGGAGAGATCTGGGGGAATCTGGTATCTGGTTGGGGGTGCAGAGCTAGGTAGGCCTCTGGGCAACATGCAGAGAATCCTGGCAGGAGAAGAAGAAGGAGCTGAAATACTACCAGGCCCAGTGTGACCAAAAATTTTAGGAGCCTGGGTTCTGGCTGGAAAAAAAAAGTTCTCACAGTAGAAAATTTCAAACCAAGTAAAAAAATAAAATTTGAGTCTCACGTCGCAACATTGAATGATCAAAGAACGTTCCTTTTGAGGGTCAGAGCACTATCTCAGGGTACTCTGGATCCTAAGCACCCAGAAAGGGCCCATCACTAAATAGACTTTAGACAAAATATTGACAGGTTCTGGGGAAACAGCTGTGGTTCTGAGGGTAGGTGGAGCCCTGAAGTGTAAAATAGGGATTTTTATGTGAAATGGAAGAAGGGATGTCATAAACGAGCTCCCACCAAGAAATGGACCCTGTGGAGCCTCACTTCACCTACAATAGTTTGAGTCTAGCTTTAGGGTACATAGAAAGGGGAAGAAGAGGGAAACTGAGGCTCACTTGCTCTTCAAAAAATGGAGTTGAGAGAGGAGCCAAAGCTCACACAAGCAATGAGCTTGCCCTTGTGGGAGGCCACCAGGAACAGAGCTAGTTTGTCATGCCCAGGCCCCATAGCCTCTCATGCATAGGAACTTCCTAGCCTTATACCCTGTACCCACAGGAGCACTTGAGGCCCGGGGAGAACAGGCTCCTCTTATACAGTCCTCTTGCATCTACCTTTCCTTTACCACTGAACTAATTCTAACACATTTTACTTGTCTGTCTCTTCAGTAGCCTGGGAGTAACTCAGAGCCAAGGGTTGTGATGTCCCCTCTGGGTGTGCTGTCCTGACCACAGGGTCCAACATACCAGAGGTGGTAGCGAATGTTGACTAAACAAGATAAGATGAAATTATTTTCCTTGATTTGCTCCACTACCAGGTAAGGACCATGTTCCAGTTTTTATCACTTCCTGTCCTTCTGTGTGTGGTGACAGTGTCCTGCTCAGAAATAAAATCCTGTGAGGATGCCCAGAAGACCTGTTCAGTGATTACATGTGGCATCCCAGTCACCAATGGCACTCCAGGCAGAGATGGGCGAGATGGACCCAAAGGAGAGAAAGGAGAACCAGGTACAGCAAGCAGACTGGTCTGACTTCTTAAATCTCTACTCCCAAGAGGACACTGTTCCCTGTGAGGGATCTAGCACAGAGCCATGAGCAGGCTCACTTTCCATTATGATGGGTGATGAATAACAGAGTAATTCCTGTACAATTTCATTCTCTTCAAAACAAAAATGCTTCTGTGGTTCTCCTGGATCCTGCCTTTCCACACAGGAATTGATGAGGTGTGGTTGCCCCTAACGAGGGGTATCTGCCTGCCTGGGTAGCTGGTCCTGGGATGCAGGAGGGTCTTTTGTTTTCAGGTCACCACTACTGTACTGGTGGTTTCTGCACTCATGTGAATCTAGGGCAGGGCTTTTGATGGAAGAGAATGAGCAACAGCCACAGAGTCACATTTCTTTCATCTTCCAACAGGGCAAGGGCTCAGAGGCTTGCAGGGCCCTCCGGGGAAAATGGGGCCTCCAGGAATTCCAGGAGCTCCTGGCTTAGCAGGACTCAAGGGCCAAAAAGGAGATCGTGGAGGCAGTTCAGGTAAGGACCTCATCCCAGCATGGTGTGGGCTAAGGGGACCCAGGGCCCTGGGAACTTGAGGGCCAGGTGGGAGGTGACCCTTCTCTTGCTGCCCCACTGGCAGATGCTCACCTCTGCTTCCTGACCCAGCACTCTCATTCCTCCCATCTTACTTGGGGCCTGAAGGGATTCCCATGGGTGCCTGAGTACAGACTTCCCACCCCTGTCAGCCACCCCCTGAGCAGGCCATTGTAGAAGATGGACCTCTGTACTTCATCAACTGGAACAGTGCAATGTGAGGCTCCAGGATGTAAGGGAAGAAATGGGTCTTCTGGGGTGTTCAGCTTAAGACTATTGTCACAAGAGTTGCAGGAAAATGGACTGCTTCATAACAGCCCTGCTTCAATACAGTAATAAAGCAACTAAATAAAGTAATTCAGAGTGAAATAAAGTAATTAGTAACAACAAAAAAAGACGACCATATATTAATATTTGCCCATAGGCCTATCACTATAATAAAAATATTAAAGAGTTTGCATGGTATAACAAATAACAGAGAATGATGAAGAAAAAATTTCAAAAAGAAGAATGAGTTAGGTTTTATTTTTTAATTCTCACCCAGGCATATGTTCATTTATTTTAGGGAGACAGGAAAAGATAGAGAGGGAGAGAGAGAGAAACATAGATGTGACAGAGAAATATCAATCAGTTGCCTCCTGAAAAGGTCCTGAACAGGGACACAAACCACAGCCTAGGTATGTGCCCTGATTGTGAATGAAACCCGCACACTATGGTGTAGGAGACAACACTCCAACAGACTGAGCCGCCTGGCCAGGGAAGCACTTTTGGGGTAAATAACTGTAGTATTATAATATTTACGTACTTTGTGAAGAAAAGGATCCAGAGCAATTGTTTAAAAGTTGTTACTATTAGTAGTAGTTTCAGATGTATAATTTATAAGAGTTCTGAATTATATCTGCAAATGCAGGAATACAGTTTTTTTTTCATTCTTTTATTTTCTTATTTTGTGGAATAAGCATAACTTCTTAATGAGCTTCCAAATACTCTTCTTTCCAATTTAAGGTCTTTTTCTCAATAGATACCCTCTCCCTATTGCCTTGCAGTTGCTGAGACTACACTGGCTGACTTAGAGAGAGAGATAAGGCAACTGAAGTCCCAACTGTACCACATGAAAAAACGTAAGCCTTCTTTCTGCACACACTGTATTCCTCACTCTTGCCTTTTTCTTCAGACGGCTCTAGGATTTCAGGAGGGCGGAAGGGAGTTAACATATCTGGATACTTATTACACACCAAGGCCTGGGCTAGGTTTGCATTTTCTCATTATATGGTTTCATCCAATCCTCTCGCCAATGCTATTTGTGGGAATTATACTTATATTATTTATAGATGAGAGAAAACAGGCCCAGGAATCATAAATAATTCATTCAACAGCACACAGCAGGGAAGCAGCAAAGGAAAGATTGCATGGAGGTTGGCTGACTCAGGAATCTTTGCTCCTTCCTCAGCATCCACTGTACACAGACAGCTGTCTATGCCTCTTTCTTATTCTGGTGTCCAAGCATGACATTAGGCCAAGTGTGTTTTTCTATGTTCCCCTGCACCAGCCCAGTTTGTAACACATGGAGTGTCTCAAGGTTAGGATATGCCAGGAGAAACCAGTCTTTCTGCCAGGGCCTTGCTCCACCACTGAGGAGCTCTTCCTTCCTGGGACCTGACCTCAGTTAGTCAGGAGGTTGAGTACAGGCTGTTTTCCAGAGACCTCAGTACCCAGTCAAGGGCCCTTGTGCCTACTGTCCTGGGCTGGGCTCCAAGTCAAGCCAACCCCTCCCTCCTTTGTGATTTCAGTGCAAACATTCTCCTTGGGCAAAAAATCTGGAAAGAAGCTCTATGTGACCAATGGTGAAAAGATGCCTTTTTCCAAGGTGAAGGCTCTGTGCACTGAGCTCCAGGCCACTGTGGCCACCCCCAAGAATGCTGCAGAGAATGAGGCCATCCAGCATGTGGCTGAGGACAGTCTCTTCCTGGGCATCACAGATGAAGTGACCGAAGGCCAGTTTGTGTATGTGACAGGAGGGAGACTGACCTACAGCAACTGGAAGAAAGATGAGCCTAATGACCATGGCTCAGGGGAGGACTGTGTGGTCCTTCGAACCGATGGACTGTGGAATGATGTCTCCTGTTCTTCCTCCTACCTGGCTGTCTGTGAATTCCCAGCCTGAAGAGGCATTCCTCAACCCATCCTTGGCTCTCTGCAGAGCTCTCTGCTGCCCTACAAGAGAATTCAGTGATGGTTTTCTAATGCCCAGAGTTGACTCATTCCTTCATGGGGTTGGGAGAAAAAGGAAGTGATGTATTTGATTGTGGGATGAGGAAGTGAAAAGTGGCCAAAAGTGAGACATGATTGTTTCTGGTCCCATTCGGGGCAAAGGACACCCTCTGTCCTGCCTAAGAGCACAGCTTTGGGTCAGAGTCAACCATGGAAAGGGCCCAGGCTAGCCTTCTCCTTTCCACTGAGAACACTGCAGACCCCCACAGGAACCAATGCAGGGCCACATCAGTGTCAGAGTCAGCAGCAGATCTCAGCCTCCAGGAGTTCCAATTCCTTTTTATCCAAGTGCTGCCACTATTGATGCCAAACTCTCCTGCCCCTGGTTCCTTCCCATGGCAAGCCCAGCCCTATTTATGACTCAGGTACTGTCTTTAGTTGTTTGTGAGCTGCACCAGAACACCCTTCACCATCAGAATGTGTCACCTGGCAGAATGCAATTACAATCGTAGAACTTCCAAACCTGTAGAGAATTTTTATAAGAGTTTATTTGAACCAAACAAAGGATACTTAAAGCAAGACAACAGACAGAGAAAATGATTCTCAGAATGACACTTTACAGGTTCTTTTATGCATTTGGAATTAAGGAAGGAAGGTAAGGATGATTACACGAAGGTATGAAAGCAAGGTGGGAAATGGATCACAAGATAGTTAACAGGATTAGGTGTCCTCTTGAGGGTCTTTTCTCCTGAGGGGTCTGAAAACAGGCATTTGAAAGGTGTGTTAACCTAAATGCCTAGAAACAATGGACACAGCTTGCTTAAGATAAAGGTAAACCTTTTACTAAAAAAGTTACAGGCCTCAGCGTGGCTACTCACCATGGCCTTTCCCCTTAGAAATATATGATTACAACACCCTGTGAAGTTACTTTCCACAGAATACTTTCTTCCACACCAACACAGGGCACAATTATTTGTCTCAGGAATCTCCTCTTCCTGCCCAAGTGGCTGTAACCTCCTTATGGTCACTAGGGTGGTCTTGAGGGGAAAAAGACAGTCTTTCCTTCCTGCATATTCTAGGAAATCAATTTGACATTGTGGTGCATGCAGCATCATCACTGGGGAGGCCAGTGGTCAGGCAGACTCCTGACTACCCCCTTCACAGGGCACTATTGGTCTCAGGCTCTCTGTGTTCAGCACCTCCTTCCTTCTGTGACATCCTCATGCCATTATAGGTCAGTGGTGGAGGTTTATTGGTAGAGAGAGGAGGAAAAACTCTCCCAAAGTGAGATTCACACCCTGTGGGTCACCCAGTCAGCAACTCAAACCTCCCTCTGAGCAGGATTCTGACACTGTTGGCCCACAGTCCAGCTCATGACCCTGCATGGGTTTTAGCAATCTCTGCTTGGGTGGGCTGAGACTCTGCAGAGCCCATGCAGCACACTGTGGGGAGAGTGGATCACAGCTCCAATTCTATGCCATTCACAATACGAGATTTGGAAAATGGGCCCTTCATGAAATATTTTTGTTAATATTTGTTTTCATTTTATTTTTCTCTGTATCTCATCTACCAGGAAGAGCACTTCATACTTACTAAGTGCTTCATGAGTATTTGTGGAGTGGGTACACCAAAAAAATCCCCAAATGGATGAGGGATAGGATAGCCAGGAGTGCACATAGGAAGAGCTCTCTTCCAGGTGCCCTCCTTCTGCAGGACTGTCGGGGCCGGGCTGACAATTAGATTGGGACATGTAGAAGGCATCCTATACAGGGTGAGGGTGATAGGACCTGTGCCCTTCTCCTCCAGCATACCTAAAGTGTCATGTCACTGAATTTTTAACCCCACAAGTCTCTTTTTTTAACCACTGCACTTGGGGTCAAGACAAAAAAGTTTGTTATGCAGAGCAGAACAATTCACTAGTTTCAATTAAAATCTAGACTATTGACTTCTGGCCAAGATGGAGGCATAGGTAGACATACTGTGCCTTCTCACACAACCAAAATAAGGGCAACAATTAAGAAACAAAATAACAGCCAGAACTGACAGAAAATTGAACTGTATGGAAGTCCGACAAGCAAGGAGTTAAAATAGACACATTCATCCAGACCAGTAGAAGAGGCAGAGTGGATTGGCCAGGCAGAGAGGGGTCACGGTAAAAAAAAAAAAAACAGTGGCTTATGAACCCGGGTGGGCAAGGCAGCAGCTGACAGACCTGGGCATTCAAGACTGCAGTGGGCAAACCCTAGGCATGCAGACAGTGGCTGCCAGACCCCAGGCTCAGGGTGGCAGCAGCAGATCCAGCGAGGCAGCAGATTGTGGGGGGCACAGTGCACAAGGCAGCTGGCAGACCAGGACTGCATAAACCAGGAGAAACTGGGGAATAAGCATACCGCACAACCCAGGGTCCCTGTGGAAGGGATATAAAGCCTCAAACCCTGATCGAAAACACCTGTTCAGGTAGAGGTGCCAGGAGAAACTCCCAGCCTCACAGGAGAGTTTGTTGGAGATATCCACAGGGTCCTAGAATGTACACAAACCCACCCACACAGGAATAAGCACCAGAAATGCCCAGTTTGATTGGGGGAAGCTGAGGAAGGAACTGAAATCTCTCAGAGACTACAGCAAGCACCACTATACCCTCTCAGACCCCTGACCACATACTAGGTCACAACACAGCCACTGAGTTGCCCTGCCCTGGTGAACACCTAAGGCTCTGCCCCTCTTACATAACAGGTGCATTAAGACAAAAAAATGGCCCAAATGGAAGAACAGATCAAAGCTCCACAGCAAATACAACTTAGTGCTGAAGAGATAGCCAACCTATCAGATGCACAGTTCAAAGCACTGGTGATCAGGATGCTCACAGAGTTGGTTGAATTTGCTCACAAATTAGATTTTTAAAAAATGAAAGCTATGCTATGTGAAATGAAGGAAAATGCACAGGGAATCAATAGTGATGGGAAGGAAACTGGGACTCAAATCAATGTAATGGACCAGAAGGAAGAAAAGAACAACCAAACAGAAAAAAAATGAAGAAACAAGAATTCAAAAACATGAGGAGAGGCTTAGGAGCCTCCAGGACATCTTTAAACGTTCCAACATACAAATTATAAAGGTGCCAGAAGGGAAAGAGGAAGAGCAACAACTGGAGAAGTTATTTGAAAAGATAATAAAGGAGAGCAGATGGTGGCTAGGTAAGAGGGAGCAGATTCTACTTCCCCCTATACAAAGGGGAGAAACATAGCCAATCTAGAGAGGAACAGAGCAAAGAGCCAACAGTACCACAGCATATATGAAAATAGGAGATCAAAAGTGTAGCGGGCATTGAAAATCCAGACAGCAAGGAGAGTGCTTCAGGACAATAAGGGTCCAGGGATCAGCACAGGGACCAGGGAGGCTTCAGCCCCAGGCCAAGAGCCCACTGGGCCAGCCACAGGGCTCTTGGGAGAGAGCTGGGTTGGCGCTCCCTCCCCAGCCAAGCAGAGTTTGAGCAGCATTGGGAGAGACCCGGTTGCTTGAAGTCGCAGAGAAGGGAGTAAGGACAGAATGACAAACACACAGGGGCTGTGAGCATGCACGCTTAGCCCTGGGAAGAGCATGCATCCAAGTGCGTGCAACCAGAGTTAGCCTGGCCAGACACACGCACCTGCAATGCAGGGAGAGAGAGCTTTGTGGAACACCCAGAGACCACTCTGGAGACCCTGAGACGACATCTGTAACTCTGCCCCTCAGCCTGCTGTAGCCACCCAGAGCAGAAAAACCTGTTTGGGTAGTTGGAAACCAACAAGAGGTTTTTTCCTTTGTTTTTGTTTTTTGTTTGTTTGTTTGTTTGTTTTAAGTAATTTTTAATTTTTTATTATTTATATTTCAATTCCCTTTGCTTCTCTTTCCTCCTTTCTTCTTTTCTTCCTTTCTTTCCAATTTCATATCTTCTACCTTCCTTAGTCTCCTTTTTGTTTTTAAATACCCAGAAATGAGACCAAAAAACCCAGAACTGTGAAAAGACCAGAGATGGACCCAAAGAGGGGGCATCGCAACAGCTGAGACAGAAAGACAAATTTCATTTTGCTATTAAAGAGAACCTGCAAGCCATTGCATATTTGTATTATTATTTTTCATTATTCTTACATCTTTTACTTGAATATTTTTCTATTCCTTTTCTTTCTGTTTAGTACTCTTTGCTTGACTGGTTATATTGTATTGTTTGATAGGTTTCCTCTGTCCTCTCATTCATAGTGTATTGCTAATTTACTGTTCTTTACTTCACCTGTGTTACATTAGTACACTACTGAAGGTCTAATATTCCCTATTCTTGGTATCTGGATCTCATAGATTCTGTCATATCACTGTTGCTCTAATATTATTGTAAATAATAGCTATTCCATACTATTGTAAATACTACACAACACCCCTCCCAGATCTTAGCCCACTTCATGGTTTCCTGCACTATATTACTATAATGGTTGACTCTATTCTCTCACACACTACACCTATTTACTACCCTTTACTCTCACCTTACCTCAGAATCTGACCTCCCACAACCTCACTGCTTTCTAGATCCAACTCACAATCCTTCCCTCCCCACCAAGAGTCTTATCTTCTTTCTATCCCTTCTAAAAAGTGGATAGTTGGGAGGAATATCACAGTTAACACTATACATAGCCAAAGGATCTCCTATCTCTTTCTTACCAGCTACTACTGTAAATAACATAGAATACTCTCTTGGTGTCTTAAACCCTTTTACCTTACCCCTCCAACTGATCACAAAAAAGAGTAGGTAGAAGCAGTGAACACCAGGATACCCAAAGAAAATTGCAGCACTGAATCTCACAGGTATTCTACCATAGAAGTTCACACCATAAACCTAGGGAGCCGGAACAGATCAATTTAAGAAGCAGAGGCTAACAATTAGAGTCTCACAAAGAATGTGAAGACAAAGAAACAATTCCCAAATGAAAGGGAAAAAGGAAACCTCAGAAAGAATGCTAAATGGAATAGAGGCAAGTCAACTATCAGATATTGGATTCAAAGCA